TGTGTACACAGGAAGTCATGCATGTAAATGCTGTGTTCATGTATACACTCTAAAATACATTATTAACCCTAACAATACTAAATGTATTCAGAAACCATTGAGGAAAAGCAAACAGCTTGTGTACCTTGCATTGTTTTTGTTATTTTGTTGTTTCTTCTACTGCTCCTCCACATGCTGGGTGATGCACGGTGGGGATTGCTAATGAAGCCAATAATGTAGCAGTGTGTGTCTAATGAGAGAAGAGCAGCTCCGGTTCCACACTATTCACACTTAATTTCAGTGTGTCTGTGTGTGAACATGATTACATTTATGAACCTGAACTGATACATCCACAATGAGATATTTCCTCCCTCGGTGCTGTCCAATTTAACATATTTGTGTACTCATAATACCCTGGAAAATCATTAACTCGTAGACTGCTCTGACATGTGAATGACCAGCATCTCTTCATCATGTTACCCGTTCACGCTAGAGATATCATATTCGAACTACACACACAGTTTGCTGGTTTTTAAAGTATAATAGCAGAGCATCCTGTGTTACACAGCGACAGAGAGCAGATGAGACTGCTCAGACGATGCCTGTGATGTCCTCCTGCTGTGAGAGACAATAACCAGATGTGAAGAGGAGAGTTTGACACATGCAAGTCTGCTCATTGTGGCCAATTACCAGGTTGAAGCATCCTTCTGGCAGGCACAGAGCCAGAGAGAGAGTCCCAGCCTGCGTTTCTCATCAAGAGCATCCAGTCATTTGAATCAGAACTCACAGCTCCGTTGTTTTACTCTGCACAATGTTTCCATTTTGAGACATTAAGGGTTTGATTGACTGTAGTGACTCAGCCCTTTCTGCCATTCTTGAATGAAAGCAGACCTAGATCTGACGTAAAAAAACAACAGAGAAACCTTGGCCCTTCATAAAAACATACAACTGGTAAGCCCATATGTATGCGCACAGCTACACTGCAAGTTAATCACTTGTTGAGGGCCAGTTTATCCTCCATTAACCATGCAGACATTTTTCAAGTCCACACATAAACAGACAGTTCACCCTTACCCACCTTCTGAGCAAGTAAATGAATTGAAAAAAGGTTGTAAAAGTCTGATTAATGTGGGATTGGAGAACAGGACAGTGAGATAGTGGGAGAGAGAGCGAGAGAGAGAGAGCCTGTTCTCTCAAACGTAGCACTTTGCAAATATGGCACTTTGTTTCCGTGATGTGGAAGCTTATTATCTTAATATGCATTATTTTATTCCCCCTATAAAACACTGGCAGAGGAAAGCACGGTGCTGTTCTTCCTGCTCTTCCTTGTAATAGCTTCTCACAGCTCCTCATTCTATTACAAAAGATACAACAGTTAGTTAAGACCCCACGAAACATTTCATTTCCTGTCCTGCTAATTAAATGTGTCTCCAATGAGCCCGCTGAGCCCACTTGTCTGGTTGTCCCCCATTTGTGGTGCCACCAGAGTTTAATATATGGCATTAAACAGGGATTGAGAATGAAAATGAAGCCCACCTCCCAGTGGGAATGTAATGAATGATTATAAGGCATAATCTTGGTCATGCAGAAATCCTTTAGTTTAGTTTCTGTCGTTTTATTTAAGTTACAGTCTGTTAAATATGGTAATGTATTTGGCTATTTTTGGCACACTTAAGATTTTGAATAGTCTGAGTGGGGTTATAAAATGCATATCTTGCAGATGCATAAAGTGAGCTGTAATGAGTTTTTCTTTTAATCAACACTCGATCGTCCATTTCCTTTCTTTATCAAAACATTGTGATCATATTTTATACAGTATTAAGATCTTATCGTGGTGTGTAAGCTGCCATATTTGTCCTAAATAAAGTCTATTTCTGCACGTTAATAATTGTACAGACCTCACAAGGAGCTTCTGCTTCTTCACCTGTAAGCAAAACATTTCCACTACAAAGGTGGGTAACAAAGCAAACAACAAGTTGTGCACATCCTCTGTAAAGTGCACGACTTCAGGGAACCCCAGAGGCAAACAAAAGGTTAGCATGCTGAAAATAAAAGGGAGTCTATTGCAATGTGGCACATAAGTCATACTGTAATGAGGATGTTTTCTAATAGATGTAACAATTAGTAAAGTCACTGTGCCAGTAAATCACGGGGAACTCTGGGAGCACTGGTTATCCTTTACGCAGGATGCATCAGTGTTCTCCTGGGGTGAACTCTGAAAGGTCAGGCAGTATCTCATTAACACATACTGTGGCTGGGCTCCACATGCAGGGACCGGGCTATTAACACAAAGCTGGTTTGTACATGTTCAAGGATTTTATGTTTCATTCACAAATCACTGCAAAGCTCACAAACTGTTACAAATATTTCATTTCATTTCAAACCTTTATTTAACCAGGTGAATCCCATTGAGATCATCGATCTCTTTTTCAAGGGAGACCTGCTGCAAGTAGGTTCCACATTACATTCGTTTGTAAAAGTATCTATAACATAATGGTTTAGGCACATCGGTTTCTACAGAAAGTATCACAGCCCTCAATTTTGAGTAAAAGAAGGCTATTTCTTCCACCTGGAGCATAACTTCTATCCACATTTAGTTTTTTTTGGAAAAAGGATGAGAGCTATTCTGGTTATTTTCCTGGCCTTTATTTTTAATATATTAAAATATGTCATTATGATATAACACTGATTTTCAAATGCTCTTAACTTTCCTCTGTACTGATGCTGTATAAGTGGTCCTCCTCATGCTCTATAAGCTTGTTTATGATATATGCCTGAGTGCAACCCCTGTATAATGTAGGAAAAAAATCCCCCCGATAAAATAAAGACAGTAGTAAACTTCATGGTAGTGGGCTGCCTATGGGAAACTCCAGAGGGAGACTGGATGGGGTGCATACAGGACTATTAGCCCTGAGTAACACAGCTGATGCATTGGCTCTGGACTCTGCTTGTTAACCCTTGAGACTCCCGGCCCGATAAATCCTGTTTTAAGAGATCTGGCAAACCCAGAGCTCACACAGCAGCTAGTGTCCCCTCCTGCTTTATATATGGACCTGTGTGGAGTGGACACATGCACAACTTTAACTTCTCTCTGTGTCTCTTGTTCACTTGTGTGCCAAGCAACTTTATATATACAATACAAATCATTGTAATTTTGAGGATTCTTCTGCTAACAAGATTTTTTTTAAAAAAACATTTTGCATACGCCACCAGACTTTTTCTTCACTTTCCAGTTTTTTTCATCTCCCTATGATCTTCTGTCACATCATACGTGTTAAGACACATTTTATATGAAAATGATCACTGTTAATCTGATGTAATTTCCCTGCTGTGCCAGTCTGCATTTACACTACAACGGCACTTCATCTGTTTCATATTTATTCAAAAGCATCAGAGGAGCCTCTGTTATGTGTTCTAATGAATAAAACACGATGTTTATCCTTCCTGTTTAACGTTAAGTCCCCATGAACAGTCACAGGGACCAAGAGAATATTTACTTGCGTCGGGACACCGGGGAGTTGGATTATCTGCTGGCGGCTTTGTAGTTTTCTGAAGCTTCCCCGTGTGACATGTTCCAGGGAGAGTTCTCTTATTTACTCTCTGGTCCTCTGTGTATAGCCCTCCTTATTGTTTGTTCTTATGTGCCACCACTCCTGAGGAATGTGCTCCAGGAAAGAGAGACTCATAGAGAAAGAGAGGAGAACACTGATGCTGTGATCATTACATGGAATTGAGACTGTAGACTATAGAAGGATTCAGATGGAGGGCTTTTTACTGAGTATTCCATTAGAAGGGGATTTTATCTGACAAGGACTTGCCTTTTGTGAATTACCATAAGACACGTGTAAAAATTGCATTTTCTCCTTTAAAATGCCTTTCAATTTGTTGACAAAAAAGACATTTATAGACTTCATTTGTATTTTCTATGTAGTTCTGTCCTTTGTTTTGAATCCAAAAATGTAGGCTTTGTCCTTAGGAGTCATGGAAGTGTTTCCTGTCAAATAACCTTCATATATCTTCACATCCAGCAGTAAGACAAACAGAGCTGTCTTGCCTTACAAAAGAAAAGTAATTCGCACAAAAGACAACGTTCAAAACAGCAAATCATTTACACACAGCAATTTAATCGGACTGGCCCTTTTTAAAGCCACATGCAGTTCTATTTTATACCGAAAGGTGGCGACATTGGGTTTCAAAACAATGTCAAAGAATCGGACCCTGCCATGCTCTTTCTAAACACTTTCACCTCCCCACACAGCGATCCGCTTTGTCTGTAGTCTGTTTAGCCTTTTTTGCAATTTTATGTTAAACATAGACCGTTAATCTAACGTTCAGTAAGAAACACTGAAAGGCATTTTGATGGATTTCAATTTAAGACGTTCGGTTGGAGTGACTAAAACGAGTTTTGAAATCAATTTGACTCCCTAATTATAAACTGCCTATAATGCAATACACCTGTACAAAGGCTCGTTTTATCAACACTTAATGAGATCTGGATAAGGAAATACAAAATAATAAAACAAAAAACTGTTCTAAAAAATAAAATATATTTGATAAATATAAGATGATAATATAATTATATTTAATGTGATTGCTTTTGTTTGTTACCTTTAATGTATGTTGAAATTATAACGATTTATGTATTTGAAAAGCATACACATATTTACCATTTGACATCCTCTGTCAATAATCGGAATCTGTTCTGTTTTACTTGTTTCCTTCTTCTCCATGCAAAGTGAATAATAATGAATAGCCAATTAAATTCCATGTGTCAATCTGCTGATGGTCTTGGACAGTTCAGAAAACTTTGCTTTCTATACTATTATGCTAATTACGTCCCCAGATGGCCTCCTCATTGGCTGGGTCTCAGTCAATTTCATATTTCAGTTCTGACGTCAGCTCGCCTATAAAAATAAGCAATGCTTTTTAACTCGTCGGCTGACTGATGCCTTAGAAAATAAATCTATCAATCCTAGGGTGGAGTTTTTTTTTCTTTCCACAAAGCAACTATTTGCCCGGGACACGTGCGTGAACCTCCTCAATTTGGCGCACTAATCCTAAAAGGAGCCATGAAGTGTTAAATGGTAGAAACAGAGACAGCGGCGCTCAGACACCCGCACGCTGGGAGAGAGGGAGGAAACAGCGCTGCTCCAATGCGTCTGTGCAACACAGACTGAAGAAAAAAAAACTTATCGACACACAAACTCAAAACCTGCGCTGCGCAATTAGTGCGTGAAAATCCACTTTTTCTCCGGTTTTGAAGAAAATAAATAAATAAATCAAGCTGGCTCAGTGCGTGTCTCAGCAGCCCACTTTGACAGGTGCTCCTCACCCCCTTTGGAGGACTGTCAACAGCAAGAGGATGGCATCAGAGCTGGCAATGAGCAACTCCGACCTGCCCACCAGTCCCCTGGCCATGGAATATGTTAATGACTTCGATCTGATGAAGTTTGAAGTGAAAAAGGAGCCGGTGGAGCCCGATCGCAGCATCAGCCAGTGCAGCCGCCTGGTCGCCGGGGGATCCCTGTCTTCCACCCCAATGAGCACGCCTTGCAGCTCGGTTCCCCCCTCGCCAAGCTTCTCGGCGCCCAGTCCGGGATCAGGGAGCGAACAGAAGGCACACTTGGAGGATTTCTACTGGATGAACGGGTACCAACAGCAGTTGAACCCCGAGGCTCTGGGTTTTAGCCCGGAGGACGCCGTAGAGGCGCTCATCAGCAGCAGTCACCAGCTCCAGACCTTCGATGGCTATGCCAGGGGGCAGCAGTTCGGCGGCGCAGCCGGGGCAGGGGGCTCCATGGCCGGGGAGGAGATGGGATCAGCAGCCGCCGTGGTATCGGCAGTTATCGCTGCAGCCGCAGCTCAGAATGGGAATCCCCACCACCACCACCACCATCACCACCACCACCATCCAGGGGGACATAATTCCTCCTCCGGGTCGCAATCCAGCGGCGGCATGGGGGGAAACCACCAGCACCTGCGCTTGGATGACCGGTTCTCGGACGAGCAGCTGGTGACCATGTCGGTGCGGGAATTGAACCGGCAGCTCCGGGGGGTCAGCAAGGAAGAGGTGATCCGTCTGAAACAGAAGAGGAGGACGCTAAAGAACAGAGGCTATGCCCAGTCCTGCCGGTACAAGCGGGTCCAGCAGCGGCACGTCTTGGAGGGCGAGAAGACGCAACTCATTCAGCAGGTGGACCACCTCAAGCAGGAGATCTCCCGGCTGGCCAGGGAGAGGGACGCCTACAAGGAGAAATACGAGAAGCTGATCAGCACCGGCTTCAGAGAAAACGGAGGGTCCGGCAGCGACAACAACCCCTCGTCCCCGGAGTTTTTCATGTGAGTCTCGGCGCTCAAAAGTTTTAATAACCGTCCCCGCACAAAAACACATAAAATAAAAACTTTAAATTGGTACGCACCTAAACAAATAGGGTGTTCCTGCTTGTGAAGTTAACGTTTGTTAAAGCTGCGTTAGTTAAGAAAAAAATAGTTTTACACTTTTCTGTGTTTCAAAGTAATTTTTTTCAGTTTGAGGATTTTAGTTTTTATTTATGTTTTATTTCTTTAAGAGGATATAAAAAAAGACCTGTTTAAATGTGTTTCCACAAATATTTGAAAGGAGTTCTGTACAATTCGCGACGTTTTTCTTTGGACACACTGCATGAAAGACACTTTCCTCAGCATAGGTCCGCCTAGTCCACCCTGTTCCCTTTACCCAAAATAGCTTGTATGAAAATCAACAATCTCCAAACACAACAGCATTATTTTATTTGGATTTATAATGGATTTTTTGTTTAAAGTAGCCTACATGTATTTGTTTATATGAATGATCTCATTTTCATATCATCCATCCTATTTGTCTTGTGAAAAAAGCATCCAAACTCGGTAGAAGTTTGGAGAATTGATGTGAGACTGTAACAGTTTGTGAAGCCATGCATGCTGGTCATGTACGGATTGTGCTTTGACTTTCTTTCCTTTTTACTTGTTTTGTGAATTTTTGTTTGATGATTGTATGAAACCATTGCTGCATTGTTAAGCCTCATCACAAGTTGCCATTTATTTGTTTCAAAGTGTAAACAGGTGCATTCATCCGTCGTTTTGGTTTTATAAAAGTTCCCCCGAATATGGAGCCATCACCTTTTCATAGGCTGATTTTGGAGCCCTCTGAAGAAGAAAAAAGACACTGTGGAAAAAAGCTACTTTTTTCTTAATATTGATTTATATTCAAAAACAACACTGCCAAGGTGAGCATCATTGAGATCTCTAGCATAAACAATTAGGCTATATCATTTCTTGACAAATGCAAAGAATACATAGATTATTGCGATCAACAAGTGGGACTGAAAATAAAAAGGGACAAGATGCTTTGAACAGAACCGAAGCAGATTATGATGCATGTCCGGAAATAAATGAGAAATAGGCCACTTTGTTACGCAAAATTGTTGCAACAAATTATCTGTTATTCCTGCAATTCGTTGTTAGTGTGCTTTCCTTTCATTCAAGGAGCTTAATTACGTTTACAAAGAACCCTATGGGTGTTGTTCGGTAAATAAACTGTGAACTGTTTGGAAATTGTTATACAAAGTTATATATTCTCGCGATGCTGTAGAAGAATTCAGCAAAGTATTAAGCCATACATCTTTTGTAATGTTTAGACAGTTTAGACAGTAAAGTTAACTGGCAGACATCGTGTTCAATTTAAAAAAAGAAATTTTATAAATATACCATTCATCAATAAATCTTCATGAATGAGAACAAATATATTCTCTTGAAAATGTTTGTTATTATTGTTCTCTTTAGTTTTGCATGTTGTTTGTCACTGTGTCTCTGAGGCGACCCCACACACTGGTAGTCCTGTAATCTCCTCTCGATCTTAACTGAAATATAAACGGTCAATTGCAAATATCATTGAGAAAATGTAAACATCTGTTCACATCTGTTTATTTTTTAAGCGCGATGCAGATGTTGCGAACAGGATTTGTAATTATAACAGCTCAAAGATCAACTCCAGCTACATACGTTAATACGTCGACTCAATATGTGTTCATTATTTATTTCCCCTTGAAAAACACATGGCGAAATATTTCAAAGTATTTTCTTTTTATCTTTTGGCTTCTCAAGAAATATAAAGGACGATCTTCACTTGTTGCGTATAGTTAAAGGCTGGAAAATGTATCTCAAAAAACGTGAAGCTAATCAGACAAAAACGCTCGGATATTCATGATATAATTTGACTTTTGCCTCAGGGCCTATTAATCGTGCTGCAGCTGTCCTGGAAAAAGCGTTAAGATATAATGATTGATTTTAGAGTAAACTTGCACTTTTTACTCGGTAGCTGTCCACTTGTTGAATATTGTCCGTGGTGTGTTTCATTTAGAAAATCGATCGTAGACAAACCTCTGACAAAATGATTAAATATGCGATTATATACAATTATATCTAATTTTGAAAATATGAATGTTGACATCCTCCAAATAGGCTAAGTCCGAATAGAAATACACTTTCTGCAGTCTAACACTTTATAATCACCAGGAATAATAATTCCATAACAATAAACGCTTCTTACTTTAGTTTGTATCCTGACAAAATGTTTCGCTATAGTTATGACATGCGAGGGTTTTCAGGAAACACACCATTTTGCTTCAATGTAAAGATCGTTAATTTGGCTCCGACCTAGTCACGCTGATCAAAGGAGGAGGAGAAAAGCCACAGCAGGCACCCGGAGTTTGTTTCCTGTAGGAGGGACAGGCGGCTCAGCAGCTCCCGGCCTGCGGAGGACTGCTGATCCTGAATCAGCCCGCTGAACTCAGGGCATCCTGAGCAGCAGCATGGCCGAGACAAATGCTAGGTTGGGCTGCATACAAGATTACTGCCACCGCTGTGTCTGTGTGTTTGCTTACGTTTTGGGTTTCGGTTTTGAATGTAAGGAGACGTTTTTTTTTTCCTTCAAATTGTATCATGGAAACTTGAGCACATTCCAAGCAAGTCTGAACCGAGCTTAAGACTTTACAGACTGTGTATTTGCTCTGCCTCACCTGTACAACTGTGTGTCACACACTGGCATTGGCTCCAATGAAAGCCCAGAGTGAGGGACAAGGCAGAGCATGATCCTCTCCTGCCTGGAGGAATGATTCTCTCTGTGATTAAAAGTGAGTGAGAGGTAGAGATAGAGCAAGCGGGACAGAGAGAGTATTACAGAGAGCGAGGGAGAGAGGGAGATGCTGGCTGCCTTCCTGCTCCTTTCAGATGATAAACGATCAGAGATGCATCCTAGCTGAGAGGAGAGGGCCTTTTAGTGAGCATGTGTCCCCTAATTTATGGCCTTCCTATCTGATTAGGTCAATATAGTGTGCTATTTAATTACATTTGTGTTATAACCTGGAACTAGAGATGCTATACTTCTTTCACGGCACCCCTTTCTTCTGTGAGGCAGATAGGGCTAGCTTTCTGTGGAGGCTCAGGATTTTGCTCTGGACAGTCTTAAATGTAACGTGACAGACAGGCGCTGTGATTTGTGTGGAGGTTCATAGGTTTCCAGTGCTCCACTTCTCAATATGTAAGAATGAAAGGTAGGAAAGTGCTGATCATTGTAGGCGTGGAAATTGTGTGGGACGTTTTCATCTTGTTTGTGTGTTTTGACTTGAAGACACACCAAGTGGCAGGAAGATTCAGTAGCATTTCCTGTGTTAAAGGAGGACAGAAGGCACAGGAAATAATATTTCAGCACATCCTACTCATTTCTCAGCGCTCAACCAAATTCACTGCTTCTTTCTCCGCCTTTTGCTTCCTCTCTTTCATTTGCACATCATGTAAAAGCGTGTACGTATAGAATACACAGACACACCACATTATTAATCTTATCAGTATTCTGTAATTCTATTCTCCGGCCCTCTATTGACTTCTGCACTGTGATCATTTGCAGTCTGTCCAATGATTAGGTTATTAAAGATAATGTAGTTGTCTGCTGTCACAATATTGGACTCTCTCTTTCAGGTCAACTATGGGAAATCACTTTGAAATTTATCAGTATTGACATTTGAATCATCATCATGTACTTCGCTTTAATGCCTCAGAATTAATAGGACAAAGGATGTGAGCACTTTTTAGTGTCTATTTGTGTGAGTGCTCAATAACCAGCCAACATTGTCTTTTATTTGACCTTGTGGAGGAAGGGTGTATATGTGCTGCAACTGAGTGCATTAAATCTATAGGCATGAGTAAGTCGCTTTATCAGGACACTGCTGAGGCATGTAGCATTTTATGTTTATCAAAATGATTGTAAAGAAAATAAATGATGTCTCCTTTAGCAGAGAAAAAGTCAGAATGCCATAGAAGAACAGCTTGAATACTTAATACTTACTTGATTTATTACGGTCAACTAATAAGTGTTAATAATCATCCGAGCAGTAAATAAAGAGTTCTTAAAACACTACCTGAAAAAGTATTTATTACCGTAAGGTGTCAGTAATAATATTCTATCCAATCCATGTTATCATTTAAAGAAAGGTTGTCACAACATAAAAAACAATTTGTTTTTCGATTACTCATTTAATTATTTTGTAACAACAGGAGACATGTCTCATTTTGTAACACAACAGTTTTTGTGTACCTTCATTTTCTTTTCTTCCCCATGAAAAGCCAACCCCTAAAGGGTTAAAACATATTCACATTCCAAAGAGGAAACAATTTCAATCTCTTACACTCAATACGCATCTGCATCACTCCATGCGATAAACATTTACATTTAAATTGATTTAAATCAGCTACGTTTATGTTCCTCTATGGTCCGTCCATCACGTATACCTGTGATGCCGAGCTTCCCTCCCTCTCTTTCTGTCTTGCAGTGTCCTGAGTTATGTGTCATTTATTTGAAACCCTAATAAGTTAACCTCCCCTCCTGTCTCGCCTGTGCATGTGGTGGGAATGCAGCAGCTGTAAAGAAGCTTTGTGCTGCTGCTGCCTCTGTGTGTATCTTATTGGCTTTACACGGTGATTTTTTCCAGCACATAGAGGCATGGGCAGAGAGGAGGTAATGTGATTGTCTGAATCCAATCCTAAAGTCTTGTGTTGAATTGAGATTACTGTAAATGCTCAGCTGTAAAAGAACGCGCGTATGGGCAGATGCAATGTGTCTCGTGTATGTTGCAGTGGAATTCAGATACTGGATTTGCATTTGCTTGTATAAAAAGCTCACACCAGAATGCATCACTAAAGGGCAATAGATGAAAGCTAATTATGATTTAATTATATGTGATCACAATATTCTGACTCACAGATAAAGATAGCCGAGGCTGTGTTGATGTTTTCAACAGTGAGTTGAGTTGCAGGGCACTGAGTCAGTGGAGTGGTGTGTTTTGGACCGCAGCAAACGTGGTGAAACCAACTGCATTGTGTGTGTGTGTGTGTGTGTGTGTGTGTGTGTGTGTGTGTGTGTGTGTGTGTGTGTGTGTGTGTGTGTGTGTGTGTGTGTGTGTGTGTGTGTGTGTGTGTGTGTGTGTGTGTGTGTGTGTGTGTGTGTGTGTGTGTGTGTGTGCGTGTGTGCATGTTTGTCTATGTGTGCGTGTTTAAGCCTGCGTGTGCATGAGTTTGTGTTATGGAGGGCGGAGCTGGAGCCAAGCCCGACCCCTGTGTGTTTTACCTGCATCTCAATGAAGCGAGAGGTGATTTACCCTTCTACTGCAGTCAGCCTCTCTCTCTCTCTCTCTCTCTCTCTCTCTCTCTCTCTCTCTCTCTCTCTCTCTCTCTTTCTTCTTCTCTCCGTCTCTTTCTTTCTTTCTCTCTCTCCCTCTCTCTCTCTCTCCGTCTCTCAGCCAGTCAAACAGACATTGATCTCTTTGCCAGGCAAGGTGACCCACAGCGTTGTTCAGCTCTTCCAAAGTCTCTGCTCCCTCTTTCATTTGTACCTGGGAAAGGCCTTGACCCCACACACTGCTGCCATGTAGCAGCCCTCTGCACGTGGCCGCCACTTTCCCTGTTTCAAACCCAGTGTGTATGTGTGTGCGTGCTTGTTTGAGTTAGCAAGAGTGTACACAGTGTGCGTGTGTGTGTGTTTGTGTGTATGTGAAATGTTCCTCTGTGTCTGGCTCTTTGTGTTTATCAGGCCCTTTGTTGGTCTTCACCTATAGGTGTGTGTAATTATGTGCACATTGATTTCTATGGGGTTGACACTGTACATTTTCTACAGTATAGGTACATCTGAGAGCCTGCTCCGTCCAGGTTGATGTTTAAGAGCATTGTTGTGTCTGCTGTGGGTCTGCTACTGGGAGTTGTAGCTGAATGGGTCAGAGTCCATTTGGCTCCAGTGTGAATCGGATTACAGGGAAATGAATGGCTCTCATTGTAGCTCAAAGATGGATTGGGGGGCATTAATATACTTTGTCGTTGCGTTGCCTCATTTAGTTTTACTGAAGTTCAGGATAATTTTTCAGGATAATTTGTCATTGGGTTTTTATCCACAGTTGTTCCTGATATATTTTCATGTATAGCTCACGTGTATGTTATATTCTCACACAAACGTGTGATGAAATGAATGCAAATGTATGTGCACATATGGTCCTCATAATCAGACTGACCTGCCTGCTTAGTTTAAGTAATTTATGAACAAATACATTGAATCTAAATGAAAATATTTTTAGCAATGCACTTACATTTCAAAGTGTTTTAATAAAGCAATGAATTTTTTTTAAATGGTAATGGTTTTTGTCAACCATGACAACATTATCACAGAACTATATTAATTAATCTGACTCAGAATTGTAAACAAGTTTTGTTTTTTATTTGTGTATGGCACTGCTCTATATATGTACATATTTGTACATTAATGGCAATTCAGAATTATATATTTATATAACATTTTCTCTGTCCCGGTAATTTGTGACTTCATTTTTGCTCTCTCCATCGTGTCACTATTCTTTTTAAATTCGTAGTCGGTTTTAAAAACCAAACAACCATAGCCTTATGTTCAGAGTGTGCTTTGTGTGCAGCAGAGTGTCCTGTGTTGCTGGATCACAGCGAAGGTTTTATAATATATTTCTGTTTTGTGTCTTCGCAGGACGTCCAGAAAGTTCCTCCATCTGTGATAGAGAGCTGTGTCCGTCCCACCACCCTGGATTTTGAGGTAATTGGTCATGCTCAGTTTTTAATCTTTGTACTCCTTTACTGTAAAACTCAAATTAATGATATACTTACATTCTTTTATAAAATATGTATTATGATATATAAGAACCCTAACCGCATCAAAACGTTTTCAGAAGTCTGATCATCTAAATGTCTGATGCATGTGTATCAAAATGTAGCGCATAATGTTTACATTACGCTTTTAACAGTACTGTTTCTATAAACTGATCAGTTACAATAATACTATTAATTCAGGCCTTTTATTTACTTTATTCACAATTACAAAAGTTAAGGTTTTTTCACCAACGTAATTTTCGGTGATCTACTTTTGGTTACAGTCAATCTTTACACGGTAAAACAATTCAAACATGTATGTATCATCCAAAATGGAATACGATTTTGTATCTCTCCTCTTAGTGAAATTAAAACCAGTATATTGATTTCATTTAACAAGAAATGTCTTATTTGGAACCCCAGGGAGGGTTTCATTATAAAATATTCTTCTCACCTCATATTTAGATGATCAAACGCTCTCTCGTCCTTCTCTGTGTGCGTTGTTATGCAGTCCTCTGTTTTGGGGCTGTGACAGTGCTGTGTGATTGACAGGAGGGTGACATTCGCAGTGCTCATGGGATGAGGCCAAAACTTTTGTCTTGACCCCTTGACCTCCTTCACTCTCTCAGCTCTCTCTGCGGAGACAAACGCTGTGCAATATTTTTTTATTTCTGGCTGACACGTAGATGGACAGATGGTGGGATAGAGGAGGATGATGAAGTGAGTGAAGGAGGGTTAGTTTTTATAGAAGGATGGATCTAAGGAATTGAGGCGAAGTAAGGAAGGAGTTAGGGATTGAGGACAGGGCACCTGGATTTAAATGCAGACATGCACGCCAGGTTGAGAGAACAGGAGGCAAGGGGAAGGGAAGAAGGGAAGAAGGGAAGAAGGGAAGAAGGGAAGAAGGGAAGAAGGGAAGAAGGGAAGAAGGGAAGAAGGGAAGAAGGGAAGAAGGGATGGCAGGAGGGCTCCTGGCCGTGGATGCAGACAGACAGGCAGGGTAACCAGAGGCAGGCAGTGACCTTCTCTGCTGCTGGAGGATCGAAGGCTTTATTTAAAGGCCTGGTCAATGCAGGGTGCTGCTGAGGTATCAGCCTCGCAGCCAGGCAACTCATCACCACTGTAATACAACTCTCTAACCCTAACCCCCCACCCCCTCTCACACACACACACGCGCACACGCACACACACACACACACACACACACACACACACACACACACACACACACACACACACACACACACACACACACACACACACACAGGACACTCTCTGGACACCTCAGGTTTTACACTGTACAGTGGAGAGGCTGGACAGAGGAAAGTACAGCATCAGCATCGGCTAATTTTACTGTACAGCAGACAGTATACTCTACTTTCCTCATGTGCTCAGCATTGTGAGGCACATGCTTGTTTTGCCTTTCCTGTACGCTCCATCACTGTCCAATTTATTTATGCTGTTGACCAATTATATATAGAGAACATCATGCACAATTGTATACTCAACGTACTGATACAGTGAGGATGAAGGTGATGTAAGAGTTAATAACAACGGCAGGCTGCTAAGGTAGGACACCTGCGTCTACGTGTGTGAGCATGGAGCACGTGCTTGTGTGTGTGTGTGTGTGTGTGTGTGTGTGTGTGTGTGTGTGTGTGTGTGTGTGTGTATGTGTGTGTGTGTGTGTGTGTGTGTGTGTGTGTGTGTGTGTGTGTGTGTGTGTGTGTGTGTGTGTGTGTGTGTGTGTGTGTGTGTGTGTGTGTGTGTGTGTGTGTGTGTGTGTGTGTGTGTGTGTGTGTGTGTGTGTGTGTGGCGGCAGCGTTAGGACACCTGCATGCTTCAGCACTTTCTGGCTGTCAGGAGCTCTGAGGTCACAGGCAGGGAGTGGAGAGGGCACATTAGAGGCAGCTTCAGAGCCCCCACCCACCACGCCTCCAAGATCCTTCCCCCTGCACCTCATCCCACCCCAACCCCCACTTTTTCCTCTCGCTCCCGTTATCCCCCGTCATCCCTCCTCCTGATCGTCTTCCCCCCGTGGTGACGGGGTGAGTCGGCCACTCAGGGGGAGGGGCGCAGGGACGCAAGGTGCCTCTGTGGCTGACAGCAGGCAGGTCAGGTTTTTGTAGACAAGACAGAGGAGGAAGGACACATGCGAGGTGTGTGTGTGTAAGAGGAAGGAAGAAAGAGAACATAATTTCAAGTGCTTGTATGGAAACGTGGGCTGATTATGAAAACACATAACATATGTTTGCTGTTAAATGTAGTAAATATCGAAGCCTCAAATATGGTGGGCTCCAGCCATTAGACCACATGGTAACGGCAATCAAACTGAATTATTTTTACATTTCTCACAAAAAAACTTGTGGAAAAAATCAGTCTACCAATGTAGGTAACAGAACGTTATCATAATATCTGTTATTGAAGCAAAATTCCTCAATATGATTTCAGATGATAAACAATGAATATCAATGTATCGCCCAACCTTACATTTGCACATTGAATTGTAACGTATTACGCGCAGCTGTGTTGGGTTCTCTTGCATTCTGCATGGACATGAATTGGCTCCTTCCACAGTTTGACACACTTCACTATCCATTTGCTGCCTGGGATATATATAACTGCTTGCAGCTCAGTGTGACTCGTTACGCTGATACATTCTTGATAGTGACACAGACGTTTTCCCTCGATTCAGAAAATCCAAATGACAGGGAGGATATGAACAGGATGTACGCTCATTATAAGGCCTGCATGGTCTAAAAGTAGAATTGGGTAAAAATGACAAAATGGAAAAAGATTTCCCTCACTGCTGTTGTAAAGACAAACACACTGAACACAGAACAACTGTGTTTAGATTTGGCTTGTTTTTAAAAATGTGGTATGTGTTTTTATTTCTTCTAAACCACAGAGTTGATGATACTTGAGGTGAAAGAGACACCCTCGAGCCCAACCTCTAAACATCAACGCGCTCCTCTTTTCAACTTATGTTAATATGCAATTTTCTCTACGAGATTTCAGTTGTTTAAGCCTGGATTGTGTTGTTTTATTCAAACATAATTAGTTGTAAAGCTGTAACTACACTGTGTGAGAGCCTCAGAGCCACTGCTGTCCTCGGGTTGTGACTCTGTGTTCACAGCATGATTGAGAGAGGAACTTGGTATCAGCCTGAGGTTAGTGTGATATAATGTATTCCCCTGAATCACCGCAGCCAGCAGCCCAGGGCCTTCCTCCCGCCCGCAGCCCCCTTCCCCTTACACACTCACAAACACACACTCCTTCCTTGCATCCCCTCTTCTCTCTTCCCTGTGGTGACTGCCCAATGCTAGCTGCTTAGCGTTGCACCCTGTGTCTAATTGAATCCCAACACTCCGGCGTTAGCTCCTGATGCTACAGAGATGTTAACACGGCACAATACTAACAGTCCCCGGGAAGTGTTTCAACACCCGGCTCCTAAAGAGAAAATTAGTGCTAAGCTCACTCTGGCAGCACATGATTTATTCAAAGCTCCAAACTATGTCTTCTGTATCCCCCGAAGGATCGTCTTTTATAGCCATGAGCGAATCAGCACTTCATACACACACATGCAGCACATGCAGAATATGTATTGTGCTGCTTGTGTGTTGGTCTACTACAGATTGTGTGTTTCCTCTCACTTCTCATGTTCCTACTGGAGTGTCTATTGTCCCTTATATAAATGTGTCTGCTGGTCTCTCTGCATCCATATTGCTGGCGTCGCCGTCCATCCCCTCTCCCTGACACCCTCACTTGTATTCCCTGGCTCTGAAACACCAGCTCTGGGCTTTAATGGCACATATTTCCTGGGCCCGGCTGAAACAGGATGCATCTTCTCCTTGTTAGCTTGATAAATAACCAGGCTGTTGGGAAAGTGCTGAATTTGAGCTTTCAGCCTCTATTTTCTGCTGGATGACATTAATTTTAAGTGCTGAGAAGGAGCTAACTAATACAGACAAATAAATATGGAGGAGGAAGGGAAGGTGCAGAGGTACTGGAGTCACTCTGCTGTCCCTCCCCCCGTTACCTGTTTATATACACGCATTCATATGCAATATGCAAACCAGCAAAAAATACAATTCACACAAAGAGAATACTTCTGTTGTTGATCAACCTGTACAATCCTCCTCCCATTATTAGTATAACTCTTGCAGAGGACAAGTGTTTACCATGCTGCAGGTAGACAGACAGTCTGTCAGGTAGACGGGACGATCGGCTCCTTGCTTCTCTATCTTCTGTCTGCCTCCCTCCCTCCTCTCTGTCTGTTCCTCCCCCTATGTCTCCTGGATTCTGTGCTTCATCAGAAAAAAGATTAGTGTGGCAGCAAAATGGTGACGGGTCACAGTGCACAACAGTATGGATCAATTTAATTTATTTGGGTTTATAGAGACAACAAAACAGAGATCAGGTTTAAGTCTGAGGAGCTCATTAGTGGGTTGCAATTTAAACATTGGGAGTTTCTTTATTGGGGGAAAGTTAATTATTGTTGTGGTAGAGACAGAACAATAATAAAAGTATGTTAAAGCTGTATAATATAAAGGATAGTTTTTAAATTACATTATCTTTTGCATTTGTTTGTTTGTGCTGCGACAGCCCATGATTCATTTCCATCATGGTTTTCATAACCATTTAGAATAGATTGTCTCTTTTCATTGTCAAAAAGACTCTTAGCTTCAACAGCTGCTCTTTTTTATACCTTTTTATAATAAATGTTTTGCAAAATAGAAAATAATAAAATAGATTCAATACAGGATTTAAGTTAAGTCTTCCAAATATACTTAAAGTCCTACATTTATTTTATTGTTTTTTTATTTAGTTCTATTGAAGTTCCATTCTTTTCCTGTTGTACATTTTCGGACTCACAAAACCCTGAATGACTTTACATTGGGAAAAAGCATGCGTCACATGACAGCAGCAAAAGCTCAGCGATAAATGTGT